ATACATAATATCTGATATGATAATATACCAATTTTCCCATTCCTGGTTTTGCGCAACTGTGTTGCGCAGCTACTTATGTGATAAGAGAAGAGTAACGTAACACGAGCGATAACCGGCTTTTTTTTCAACTTTTATATATAAAAACTGTATAAAATTTTTTTAAAAAATCACACCCGGTTATTATAACATATAAAAAAAAAGTTTCAAAAGTTTTAAAATTTTGACCCGGCCGGGTTATGTAAACCAAGAAAATTTTTTTATGGCATAATCGGTTTTAATAAATATAACCGGTTCCACCCTCTATTACAGGACCGTCCTATCAGGCCCAAGGATTGGACCGAAATGCAATTAAACATCCCTAATTATTTAACAGATTCAGATCATGTGATTACGTAGTAATACGTTCCGCGTAAATTATCAACGGTAAAGTTGGGAATTTAAAAATTTGGCGTGTTAGTTCAATTTAGAGAGTTATCATTCATTGCCAGTGCGATGAATCGTGAAAATAAAACAATCGCCATTTTTTTTAAAAAAAAAATTTGCTTAATAACTTGGAATTTTGCCAATGAAATAGCTTTCTGTGGTTTAACAAAAAAATTTTTTTTGTAAAATTTGGGTTAGAAGCTCTTTCACCACTGCAATACCCTCATCCTACCCGACCCTAAACTAATGCGTCGTTTTGTTATAAAAAACATAGTTGCTTTAAATGATTATTTTAGAGCAAAACCATCTTTATTTAATCTTAATATTTCGATACATGATCATAAACCAAGTCTATAAAAAATTTATATATTATACGCGTAAATAGAAATTGAAATAAGACATAAAAAATTACGTACGTACATGTACAAATTTAGACGAACTTATCAGTTATGTACATATGTTCAGTACTTTAGATAGGCGACAGAGAATGTAAATTTTGCTTTGCCTAATTTTCTTTTTTAAAGGCTAATACGACTTAAAAAATATTCTTTTTCAAACCGCACTATTTTAATTTCCGAGAGTATGACTTAATTTGTATTACCAAAATCAAACAAATTTTTACTACTACACCATTAGAAGCTTTTTCTTACAATGCTTGCTTTTAAGATCACTTTGTAGTTTGGTTTCCTAAAATTAGTTACAATTAAGGGAAATGAACAAATACCCACTTCGGCATTTTTAAGTTCTTCATCTACTGAGAATTCCATAAATTCAAGTTCAATATTATCTCCACTTTCAAACCATAGGTATTCAATAATAGGTTCTTGAACTTTAAATCGAAAGAGAAAAATCACAATGATTTGTTGGACGATTTTGATGGCCATTGATTCAATATCTTTGTTCTTTACAGGATCTATTATTGTACGACAGTTACTCATTATATTTAAAATATCCTTCGTTAAACGCTCGATAACTGGATGTTCACGTTTATCTTTATTCTGAGAAAAACCTCTGTTGCTAAGAAGAGTATACACCATTTGACGTAATTTCGTAGGGATTGCAGAAGAGACTTTGTCTGTTCCAAAGCATTGCATTGAAAGTGCTGTTGTATACTCTTGTAATCTATTCGTCACTGACTGTATTTTGGCTTCCAAACAAGTCTTCGTATGAAATTCATCATCATTAAGATATTTTTCCGCTTTAGAAATGGTTTCTTGGATAATATGACGCTGCAAAAGACCTTCTAATAGGTTTTTGTTATAGTTTTTTCCGGAAAATACTGCTGAGCATTTGTAAATTTTCAAAAGTTTTTTCATAGATTGTTCATTGATGGAAGCAATAGATTTTCTTAATTTACAAAAATATTCAAGATCAATTCTTAATTTTTTGATTTCACTTGATAATTGTCCAATATTATTGATATCATGATCGCCAAATTCGAAATTTGTTGCTTTCCCAAGTTCTGATGAATATTTAATAGCTTCATTTCTAAGAGAACTATTCGATTCGAATAATTCACTTATTCTTATATCTCTTGCCTCCAATTTGCCTTTTAATTCACGTATTTCTTCATCTTTTAAATTAATATCGCCTTTAAGATTTGAAACATTTGTTTCTAACTCTCGAATTCGATCAGTATTGTTTTGCCCGTCATTTGTATCACTAGGGTTAGGGATATTATTTGTATCCCTAAGGTTAGAGTTATCTTGAATTTTTTTTATATTATTATGATATTCGTCTGAAATAAGCGTCCATTTTTTAAATTCTTCTAATTGAATTAGTTGTGTATACTTATTAATTAAATCACCTTCAATTAGAACTTTTACATTATCTATGGTTGTAACAATGTAATCTCTTTCAGCTTGAATATTCGAAATTTCTTTATTAAATTTATTGATGGTTTGTTCACAATCATCAATTAGATTATTTATATTATGTTGATTTGCATTTTCGAAAACATCGCTGAAAGGTTGAATCTCATCCATGAGCTTTTTGACTTTCTCACTATATATGGAAGAATCATCAACTTTAGTGATTTTTTCTAGCTTAATAAGTAGGTTATACCTATTTACCAAATCGGATTTCAATTCGCATAGTTTTTTATGAAGTGACCGAATATTAGTTTGTTGAATTTCATACGTTTTGGTTGCGTTTATGTAAGCTGATTTTTCTTCCAACTTTCGCTTTTCATAGTTGAAATCATTAATAGTCTTTTCAAGCTGAACATTCGAATAAGTTTTTAATTTTTCGTAGAGGATTTGGAATTGACACGTATTGACAATATTTTCTTCACCATAAAGGATTATAACTTCATTATTATTATTCTTGCGTAAGTTAATATCTTTTTCAGAAATAGGACTCTTAAATTTATCTAAATATTTTTTAGTATCTGGATTTTCATCGTTTAAATTCACAAATTGAATAAGCAGGTCATATTTTTCTGTCAAATGATTTTCCAAAGTACGATTTATTTCATTGATATTATCAAATAGTGTTTGAATCAATTGATGACGTGCACCATTAATATTATTTATAGATGAATCTTCTTCACCACCTTCTTTATCTAGTTCATCAATTTTGTTCTGAAGACGTTGTTGTCGATCTATAATTTCATCATTCTTGTCTTTTGTTAAGGTTAATTCATCTTCAATTTTCTTTGTTTCCTCATTAAATTTATCATACTCAGCAATAGATTGATTACGATCAATTTTTTCCTTAAATTTTTCTTTTAAATGATTTTTAAGACGTTCTTTTTCTTCACGAAGAATTTGAATATCATTTATAAGCTGCAAACCATTGAATGCATTAAAAACTTCTGAGCGAATCGACATGTCAAAATTTTGACATTGGTTCGTTATAAATTCTTTTAATTTGTTCTTTTCACTTTCAAGATCCTCATTAAGAAAATTCGTAATTTTATTATTGAGTTGTTCGCGTATATTAATTATTAAATTTTTTTTCACATCTTTTAAATTTTCATAGTCGCTTTCTAATTTTTCAATCATTTTTTTTACATCAAATTCAGAACCACTGAAATTTATATCCTGCTTTTGAATCAATTCATTATCAACAGAAATATTCACATTTAATTTTACACATTGGTCATGTTTTTCTATCAAATAATTTTTTAGCTTCTCATTTTCCGCATTAAGGACCTTTAAATATTGAACCCCTTGTTGATATATCAAGTCATCCTTAGTTTTTATGCCATTTTGATTATTTTGATTATACTCAGTCAAATCAGCTATTTTATCTTCAAGAAATTTAATGTTGTTCTGGAGATTTTCTGTTATATGGTTTTCCAGACGGTTTTTGGCATCTCGTAACCCCTGAATTTCATCTTCACTAAGTTGTTGAATTTGTTTAGTTCGTATAGATTGACTCTTTAAAAGGATCGTTTCCGTATATTTGATAGATTTCTCATATCTATTAGAATTCTCTAATACAGTAATTGCATTATATTTAGTGAGTAACCATTCTGCCAGTTGTTCTCCTTCTGTATAGAGAGCTTGAGCTGGATCTGAATATCTTTTTATATTACGTGTAAAACTCATTTTATTCGAGTTATAATACGACGAGTTTCAGTAATCAAAGTCAAATAATGTAGTTAACACTTTAAGTATTTAGTTAATATGCCTTATGACTATTTTTTTCATCGATAACATACTTTAGATAGGCGACAGAGAATGTAAATTTTGCTTTGCCTAATTTTCTTTTTTAAAGGCTAATACGACTTAAAAA